GAGACCAGCTGCTGGAGGTTTTGGAGGACCTGAGGAGACCAGCTGCTGGAGGTTTTGTTGTCCCATTCTGGTCTGGTGGAGGATTGTAGCTGCTCAGCTTTTCTGTTTGTTGTTGGGGTTTTTGCTGGATGGAACAGGTTCTAAAACCCATATGCACGTTCTACATTAACTGTAAACTGCCCATGCCAGATACAGTAATGCACCCCCATACCATCAGAGAGGCAGGCTTTTGAACTGTGTGCTGACATCAGGCTGGATGGTCCTGCTCCTCTTTAGTACTGAGGCTGTAGCATTCTTGGTTTCCAAAAATAAAATTTAGATCTGACCACAGATCAGTTTTGTCCAGAGGAGACAGTAGCGGTCCTGGACAGTATTCACACATCTTGTCTTCTTTGTATGATAGAGCTTTGAGCAGCATTTTTGGATGGCATGGTGAACTGTGTTTACAGAAAATGATCTAGTGTTCCTGAGTCCAGAACAGAACCAGACCTGTTTTTAATGCAGTGGCCCCTGAGGGCCCGAACATCACGACCATCCAGCCCCGACTTTCAGCCTCGTCCATTGAGCCCAGACTCAAAATATTTTCATGATCTGCAGATGATGAGCTCTGCAAAGTCTTACCAGTTTCTTGTTGAACGCTGTTCTGAAGTTGTTCCAGTATTTTTAGGTGCAGGTATTTGCAGACTGCTGAACCTCTGCCCATCTTTACTTCTAAAAGATTCTCTTGAAACTCTAGAAAGATGCTCTTTTTATACCCGGTCTATTTACTGAACTAATTAGTTGCAAAAATCTCCTCCAGCGCTTTGTATTTGTATTTGTACCACTTTTAATTCTTTGTTGCCCCTTTCTCAACTGTTATTGGACGTGTTGCTGCCATCAAATTCAAATCACTTCTTTTATCTTAATTCAATATATTTACAAAGTCCCATTATGAATAAAACAAGTTCATCACATTTGCAAATCTATGCATTCTGTTCTTGGTCATAACTTCAATCTGAACTGGGGGTTCTAGTTTGAGCCCGAACGAGCAGAAATTTTAGACTTCCTGTTGAACTTATGCAGCAACACAAGATGAAAAAAACAAGTTTTGATCACAAGCATCAACTTTAAGTTTTCTTAAGTTTTGTAAAGTTTGAAATTCTGCTACCATTTGTAAAATAAGGGCTGAATCTTCTGCACGTCTTAAGTAATGGAGACCTGCTGTTAATAAAGTCAAATAAAAAAATGACATGGGTGAAATCCTTCACTTGAGCTGTTTAATTAAAATACACATCAGTACTATCAGGTTCTCAGTTTACATCAACAGTACACGATCGCCATACTTCCGTTTTTCTTTTTGTACAAAGAGGTATCAGTTATATAAAAACACACGACAGTTTTAAATGAGACATACATGAACACATTTCAACCATACTTCAAGTGTCAGGAATCCTTCGGCCTGCGCTCGTGTCGGTGCACGTGCACAGAGCAGAACTGGCATCAGTTGACCCGAAGTGCAACAGGGACCTGGCATCGGGACCGTCGTGTTTTAAATGAAAATGTGCTATGACTAATAAATATGCTCCCGTGTCCTGCAGGCGTGCTGGCACCGCTCCAAACAGAAGGAGGTGAAATGGAAATGAGTCTGTTTCTTTGCTGCACGCTCGTGCCGGACACTCAAATACAGTTAAATTATGCTCCATAAACAGAATTTGCATTAAATATTCTAGCCATGCAGTATATTCGGTTGAGAAATAACTTAATGTTTGTGTCGCAGCGATGAACACGACAGAAGATGTAACTCCACTTCGTCTCTGACTCCACATTGCAGAGGCTTGATTCACTCCAATGATAAATAGTCAAAAACGGTGGATACAAAAAAAGCTAGTAAACTTAATAAAAATAAAACAAGCTGTTTTTTTTGTTAAATTCTGCTTTTTTTTGGATCTGTTAAACTTATTACTTAAATCCAAGATTATCGGAGAGTTCTGCTCCCTCTCAGTATTCACAGTAGCTGCTGTACAATTATAACTCCTAGATTGCACAACTACCAATATTTTTTAAAGCTAATACTTTTCTATCTGTTTGAACAGAAATATTTAACAAACATACAAGAATGCAGAAATTCTTACAAAAGCTGAAATAATTATGCCAAGCCAGTAGGTGGCGGCAACGTCAACAATAACTATCAAACAAAACAAAACAAGAAAACAAGTTTTCTGATCTGATTCTTGTTTGGTGGCAACTTTAAAGCTTAACTAGAGAAATTATTATTGCAGAAGAACTTGCTGAACAACAGCTGAAATAAGCTAAACAACTTGCTGAAATGTAGCTGAAATGGAAGAACAATCCTAAATTGCCAGAAGAAAGCAGAAATAACACATATTTGATGAATTTAGTTTAAATGAGCACAAAAATTAGGAATTTAGCTAAAAAATATTAAATTAAAAACAAAACATCTAAAAAGTAGCTGAAAAGGCAGAAAAAAAGCTTAAATTACCAGAAGGAAGTGGAGAGAGCTGAAATGAGTTTAAAAAAATGTGGAATCAACTGAAAAAGCTAAAATTATCATAAAATAGCTAAATAATCAGCTGAAATAACAGAAACTAGCAGAAATAGGCTGAAAGGAGCATAACAAGCTGAAATTAGCATAAATAATTTAATTAGGCTGAAAGTATCAGAAATTACCACCAAAAACTTGAGTTTATCAGAAACTAGCTGAAATTAGCTAAAAAATGCTGAAAAGGTAGAACAAGCTTAAATTAGCAGAAGAAAGCAGAAGGAACACATGGTTGCCCAAATAGGCTTAAAAAAGCAAAAATGAGCACAAAGAAGTGGAAATGATCTGATAAAAGCAAAAAAAATTGCCAAAAACAGCTGAATAGTAGCTAAAAAAGACATTGAGGAGCTTAAATTACCAGAAGGAAGTGGAGAGAGCACATTTTAGCTGAATAAGGCTGAACACAGTTGAAATGAGTGCAAATAATGTGGAATTAGCTGAAAAAGCTCCAAATTATTATAAAAAAGGCTAAGTAGCAGAAAAGGCAGAAAAGGCTGAAACTTGCAGAAACAAGCTGAAAGGAGCATAACAAGCTGAAATTAGCAGAAAGAAAGATGCCAGAAGAAGCACAAAATGTTGTAGTTGGCTGAAAGACCCTGAAAGGATCAGTAAACAGCTGAAAAAGCAGCTGAAGTCAGCTGAAAGTCTCTGAAAAAAGTTAAAATTTGCACAAGGAAGCTGAAAGAAGCTGAACCAGAACAAAATGTGAAAGGAGCAGCAAAAGGTTGTAAACAGATCTAAAAATTTGAAGGATGTAAAATGAGCTCAATTCATTTTCTATGAGGGTAAAAGTGACAGAAAAGGCTAAATATTTCAAAAAGCTAAAGTTGCACCAATAACAAAAGTTTTAGCAGGACTGTCCTGAATGAGCTGAATGTTTTTGATTTATGATTTGCTGAAATAGCACAAAAATTGTGGAACGACAAAGATGCTGAAAAACCTACGGATGAAAAATGGATCTCATCAGTGAGAATGCTTCATGAACATTCACAGAATTAAAAGCTGCTAAATGCATCTTAGAAAACCTTGGTGATCCGATCCGGTCAAAGCAGGTGTAAAAATCTAAAAAGTCCATATTCAGTAATCCAGGTATACAATCCAACAATTTTCAGTCAGGTCATCTGGACAGTTTATCTATTTATTTTTTTTGCTGAAATGTTTCACCTTCCATCCAGAAGGCTTCATCAGTCAAGGAAACCCACAACACAAAACTGATTCTTCCCCCAAACAGCTTACTCCAAAGTAGAACAAACCAGTTATGTTGGTGCCAAGATTGTGTTTTTGGCACGCCCCCTCCTCTGTTGCTGGCCCTCTTCCTCATCGACAGTCATGTCAAACTGGTTTAAAACCAAAAAGTCCATGCTCAGTAATTCTGACTGAAAATTGTTGGATCGTATACCTGGATTATTGAGCATGGACTTTGTTAGTTTTGAACCAGTTTGACATGACTGTCAACGAGGAAGAGGGCCGGCACCGGAGGAGGGGGCGTGCCAAAGAGACCATCTTAGCACCAACATAACTGGTTTGTTCCACTTTGGAGTAAGCTGTTTGGGGGAAGAATCAGTTTTGTATTGTGGGTTTCCTTGACTGATGAAGCCTTCTGGATGGAAGGTGAAATGTTTCAGCAACAAAAAGAAACTGTCCAGATGACCTGACGGAAAATTGTTGGGTCAGGTGTAACAATGTTACAAAGGCACCGCCGTTGTAGTTTCTAGCACAGGCTTAACGCACAAGGCAAGGCTGCAAAATCATCGTTTCTCAAAAACCTCAGTTACATTTTGACAACGCACTAATGAACTAACTAAAAAAATAATCTCAGATTTTCTTACCAAAAATGCTGTTTTTGTTTTTGTGTGTATAAATGGTGCAAATGCAGCAGGAAAGTTTGTTCTGTTTGTGTGGACAGACACTTCTCGTGGTTCCTCCTGCTGGAGTTAAGAGTCCGGGTGGAGCGAGGCTACAGTGGCGTCCGGGACTAAGAGGTGGAAGGTCGGAGCGCGCGGCAGGAGTGGCAGCAGGCCTTGCTGTAGTACCAGTGGCTGCACAGGTTCACCTTCAGGGCCAGCAGGCAGTTGGTGGAGGGTCGGTCCTGGCAGCTCTCATCTGGGACAAAATCAGAGTTTAAAGTCCTCTGCTGAACTTAAATGTTTTATCTAAACCAGTGGTTCCCAAACCTGGTCCTTGAGGAACACCATCCCCTGCATGTTTTAGTAATTTCCCTGCTTTGACACACCTGATTTGAATGAATGGGTGCTTAGCAGGCTTTGGCAGAACTTGAGGAAGTAATGAAATCACTGAATCAGGTGTGATGGAGCAGGGAAACGACTAAAACATGCAGGATGGCGTTCCTCAAGGACCACTGTTGAGAACCATTGGAAACTCACAAGCTGATGCTACATTTGGAAGCAACATACATATTTTTATTAGCTTTGTCTTTTTTAAAGTTCCTTTTGCAATTATTTTTATTTGTCTTATAACCTAGAAATCAAATGAGTTCCTTGAAGGTTTGAATAAGTTCATTAGCGATGAATAAAAGTTATGTAAAACAAAGCAGATGTAACATATCCAGAGTTATTTGAAGCTCAGAGAAAACTCAACTTTCTGACTCTGAACATGAGCATGGTACTTTGAAACAGGTGGAGCTGGCATCAAATGTCTAATGACAATCACACAGCAGATAAAATACAGAAAATATGTTTATTATTACTTAAGTATCAAAGATTTCTTGATATGTAGGAGCTTAACAGATGTGCAGCAGGATCCCTCTCACTAAACTTTCACATCCATCTTACTAAACATTTTGGAGATGAATTTACTGAAAATTACAGGTAAAAAAAAATGTGTAAAATTCTGGAGTCTGAATGACTGAAAATGAACCTAATGGATTAATCGTTTTGTATATTTTCATATATTATGAGTTGGATTTGTTGGGTTGTTCATCTGATGCCACCTTCACCGTGCACCGAAGTTAGGAAGCTTGGGTTGATTCACAGAGTTGACAACCAGTTCACCGGCTGAAGCTCAGGTGTGCGGTGTTACCTGGCGGCTCGGTGGGGCAGGGCTGCAGGGTGCAGGTCTGTTTAGCCACTGGTTTGGTGAGGGGGTCGCAGCCCCGAACAAACTCCCTGCCCTGGTAACACTTCACATCCCTCATTCTCACTCCAACGCCGCACGTCTTTGTGCACTGAGGAAACACAAACACGTTACAGTTAAAGGGGGGAAACGGCTACATCACAGACGATTCTACAGATAGTTATCTAAAATTCGGTGTGGTGGTAGCAGAGAGTCTTTGCTGACACATGATCATATGAGAGCGGTGTGTCTCTATTTTGTTTTGCTTTAGTTGTAAATCCCTTTTAAAGCGCTTCATAAATAAATGCAATTTTGATTAAAAAAAACAGTCTATTTGAAAATTAGCTCAAACCTCAAATTTTCTGAAGTTGTTTCAATATAAAATGGTTTGTAGAAGAAATTTTAAATAGAAAGTTATAGAATTAAAAAGAAAATACATCACATGTTTGCCCTTTGTGACGGACGGCCCTCGATGAGTTTCAAATAAACGAACAATTTCATGAAAGTTAGAAACAAGAGCATGGAGGCGGAGCGAGGCGTCGGGGCTTTGTATCCTGTTTCTCTAAAGCTTGTCATCAAATTTGATGAAGACTACACCCGATCGGTTGTAAATCAGCTGTGTTTACCTCGGACCAGGGGGTGGTGTACCATTTGAAGCACGGCCTCTCAAAGCAGGTGGCTTCCTCTTCGGGCTTCTCGCTGCTGCTGCACGCCTCCTCATCAAAGATCTGAAACTTTCCTCCGCTGATGCTCACGCACAACACGATCCTCCTTTTCACTCCGCGCCCACAGGTTGTGTTGCACTGCAGAACAAAACAACAACAGCATATTGAGTTATTTAACAGGAACTTTATTTTATCCCTGAAGCATTTTGCAGTATCCCTGTGAGAGCTTCAGGTGTGGATTTAGAGTCGTGGTTTCACCCGTTCCCAGTCTTGGCTCAGCCAGTGTGGAGCGCAGTCCCTCTCCCCGCAGGGCTGCACGGCCAGCGGCTTGTTCTCTGGGGAGCACTGGTTCTCAGGAACCACCCGGCCTTCAGGAGTCTTGCAGTACACGTGACGAACCATCTTCCCATGGCCGCAGGAACCAGAGCACTGCAACAAACACGGGTCAAAGGTCACGCTGAAGAAAGCTGATAAAAGTAAAAAAATTGCCATAGTTTGCCCTTTTACTGTTTGTCACCAGGTTTTTGGGTCCTCCTTATCACACAAGCTACTCCAGACAGACACTCTGACATTATTTTTCATATTTAATTCTGCTAATCAAATAAAATATAGAAACCCATTGCTGCCACTAAAAAACTGTAAAATCACGAGTTTTAAAAGCACATTCATGAGGATGAAAGTCATTTTTATGACTTTCATCCTCATGAATGCTTAAATACATTTAACTCTGCAGGTCATCCCTGAAACTCTGACACACAGAATCACAAGTCCAAGTGTGAACGGTGTCGCACAATAAAAACATGTATTATCTGCAGCATTGTTCATTAAAATGGCTCAACACTATTAATGTACTACAGAAAATATACATACAGGCACACTTAATGATATTGTAGAGTATTGCATTAGGTAATACATTCAGCAAGTACTTTTACTTTTAATACTTTAAGTATTTTTAAATGCAAGTACTAATTTACTTTTACTTAAGTAAAAACGTTAATGTGGTACTTCTACTTTTACTAGAGTACATTTTTGTCTGTTAGTTTGTACTTTTACTTAAGTACAGTGTTTGAGTACATTCTCTACCCCTGATGGTGATACTGAGACAAGATGCGAACGTGTTCTTGTGTGTTTCACTGCGTGCAGCTTGTGTAAAACGTACAGGACCCCACTCTGACACAGTCCACTGGCGTTCGCAGGGCGGACCCGTGCAGTTTTTCACGTTTGGCGGCTGGGTCATGGGGTCACATGGTCTGGTCTCGTCAGAGCAGCGAACATCACGGGTCACCTGAGCTTTGCGGCCACATTTAGCAGGGCACTAAAGAGAAAGAATCTTTGTAGCGAACTCTTTCCGTACGTTTTTGCACGAGAACAGAACTGGAAGTGATTTAATTCAAATGAAACGGTGTTTGAGCCTGAGCAGGGTGAGTCATACCTCTGCCCACTCTGCTACCTCCCACTGTGGACCGCAGGCGGGACTCTTGCACGCTCGTCTCTCCATGGGTCTCTCCAGGTCGGCCATGGTGCAGAGGTCGCTGTAGACCGAGCTGTCGAGGCCCGGCGAGAGCATCTTCCAGCAGCGAACCTGGCGAAACTGGAAACCCTCTCCGCAGGTCCGGGAGCACTCGCTCCAGCTGCTCGCCTCCCATCTAGAAGAACACATTGACCTCATCAAACAGATGTTCTGGTTTTATTGGAACAGGAAATAAAAGCATCAGTGGGTTGTACCTCGGCTGACACTCTCTGCCGATGCAGAAGTCATGGACCGGCTCTGGTCTGGTCAGCGCATCACAGTACATGTCGTGAACTTCGACGCCATCGTAACGAACGCACGAGACGAAGGACTTTGACACCCCTGGATCATAAACAAGAAGCCAAGACGGCCTCATTTATACAACTCATGAAAGAAAAGAGTTTATCCAGATCACAACATGTTTGATTAAATAACTATCAAGGTGTTGACAGAATAAAGCGTCTGTGTTGACTCAGAGCAAACTTCAACCATTAGAGTTTAAAAAGTGACACAAAAAGAACCAGTTTGTGTATTAATCTGGTTTACATCAGTATTTAACTGTGTGTGTTCCTGCTATTGTTTTGATTTTTGATATTTTTAATTAGTTTAATAAGTTTATTTGCTTTTAAACCCTAACTGGGAACAAGGTCTTTATACTAACCAAGTCCTGTATATGTTGCAAATGTTGCTTTATTTGACATAAAATGTTTTTTTTTTTTTAATGTTTTTGTTTCTGTCAAATTAATTTGAAGTGAACAAAACTGAATTCAAAGGAACATTTGACTATTTTATAATAAAACTTCACACTTCATTGGTTTGAAACTACCATTTCTCGGACTCCACTGTGAGGGCTAGATAAACAATGGAGCATAAACTAAGTTTTTTTTTTTAAATAAAACGTTACAGTAAATATTAATTTACTTTAAATTGATAATGTAAAATGATGACCTGCATTCAAATGTGCCTGCAATAAAGTGACAAACCTAAAGACAAATGGGTTGTAAATCAGTCATTTTTACTAATTTTGAGTTAAAATGATGTGGAAGTAGCTGAACACATAATCCAGATCACATCTTTGTTAAAATCAAAGCATAATCCTTCAGTGATAGTATTTTTTTTTATATTGCTGTGTTTGAAAAGTTTGTTGTCAGAACTAAAAACAAAAGGATGTTATGAGGTTTTCAGCTTCAACTAGAAAATGAAGATGAAAAAACGTAATATTCCTAATCTGAGATGAGTATTGGATTACACCTTTCGCTGACGACACAGTTGTTTATTGTCGAGCTAGAACAGTTGTTAAGGTTTTCCAGCTTTTGCAATCCGCTTTTGACATCATCCAGTCAGATTTGTTCCATCTTAAACTGGTGCTAAACGCCGACAAAACCAAAGGGATGTTGTTTTCAAACAGGAAGTAGGTCCCAGCAGTTCTTCCTTCTATTTTATCCTCAAATGGTGTCCCGATTGAGTTTGTCGATTCTTATAAATATTTGGAAATCTTGGTCAATTCGCATCTCTCTCTTAAGCCCCATGTTAAAAACTTGGTGAATAAACTGAAAGTTAAACTGGGTTTCTTTTTCAGAAACGGATCCTGTCTAAGTCTGAATGGAAACACCTTGTCACTGCGACTTTCCTTCCCTCCATTGATTACAGTGACATTATTTACATGAACGCTCTTGCAAGCACCCTGTAGATGTTGGATGTTGTCTGTCACGGTGAGCTAAGATTCATAACTGGCTGTAACTACCATACCCACCATTGCACCCTGTATTCACTGGTTAACTGGTCATCATTAACTTCACGCAGACTCTCTCACTGGTACATTTTCATTTTTAAATCACTTCTTGGTCTGCTGTCTTCATACATCTCCTCCAACTTGTCTCTGCGTGAGTGCAGCTACAGCGTGCGCTCTCAGGACATTATTACCTGCAGTGTCCCCTCAGTGCAGACTGAACTTGGGAAAAGGGCCATCTCCTACTCCGCTCCTGTTTCCTGTAATATCTTGCAAAAAGATCGGAAGCTCTCGACCTTGACCTCTCTAAGTGGCTTCAAACATCTGTTAAGTTCCTGGCACTAGCAGACAGACATGTTCCTGTTTTTAGTTTTCTACATCTCTTTGTAGCTGATTTTGTTCCATTTCTATATCATTTCTTCTATTTACTTTTCATTTTATATGCTTTTTATACGATTGTCTGTTCCTCATCTGTGTTCGTTGTTAAAACAGGTCTCTCTGATAAATGAGTCCTCGTGGCTCAATGGGACTAACCTGTATAAATAAAGGTTGAATGACAAAAAGTATTGAATTACCAATGGAGCAGGTCATGCTGCAGGGCTCCTGAGAGGAAAGTTTCCAGCGGTACATGTCTGCAGGGCTCAGCTTCAGGTTCTTCTGGTAAAACCTCTGATTCCCCCTGTGAAACGTACAAAAGGTGAGGGGAACTGGGAGTTTTTATCTTCTTTACCTTCAGCCACGTCTGCAAACGCAAACTAAAACCGCTGCAGATAAAAACTTGTCAAGGCAATAATTATTTCTTCAAAACGTCATTTTAAATGGATATTTTTAGGACTTTTAAAGATACAAACAGGGCAGGCAGTCACAGTGTGGTGGCTGATTTACAGCCTGCAAACCTGCAAATACGTTATTTCACCACATCACATAAAAGCTGTACGCACATTCTTGTCGTAACGCCGGTGGTTCCTTTTGCCAGAAGTTCATATGAAACCTAACCTCCCCTGAGTTTTAACTCCATGTCAGCCGGTCCAATTCTAACTTTTGATTTCCTCCCAGAGGTGACGACAGTGTTTTCCCTTCATGCAGTATTTCTCACTTTTCTTACGAATGCCTGGAATTGTTTGCTTCTGAGTGCAGCAATGTTTCTTCTGCATTCCCTCCACGCTCATCTGCTCTGTTCATTTACTGTTTGTTTTTTTAGATGAAAGTGTGTGTGTTATACCTGCAGACTGCAGAAACAGTGAAGCCACCATGAATTATTAACATGATCAAGGTAAAACCTGCCCAGTGTGCATGTTCGTCTTCCCTCTTGACTGGATCTGTCTGTAGCTCAGGTGAATTTTATGTCCTGGTCCACCTGCTTACGATCCAACTGCACCGATTTATTGTCTGCATGTCTGCCTGCTTTACTGCTGGTATATAAACTTCACTGACAGCTTTACTGCCTGTCTGTCTCGGAGTCCACCTGCTTTCCTCTGCAGGAGAAACTTCATGAGAGAAAAACCGACTTTGAGTGAGTTCTGTCTGATAACCTGGTTCTGTTGGAGCGGCCGGAGGTCCTCCCGTTGAACTGAACCGTTCTGTTCTGGTTGTCTCCGCTGTCGTTGCCTCTGTGGCCCAGAGTGGACTCCAGCGTCTCGTTCAGGTCTGTCGGGTTGATCCGTTCCAAGCTGCCCAGGTCCACCTCAGGTGGGAACAAGCCGTCTCCCCCCGTCAACAGCTGGTTGGTGGAAATGTTGATGAGCAGCTCGTCCGGGCTGATTTGTCCATCCAGGAGGACCCTCCATATGAGGTTTGTTGAGTCCGGCTCGGTGTCCAGGGGTCCACCGTCAGGCGGCGGTTTGGCAGTGCTCACGGTTTGGCTGCTGTTCCCTTTACATGCATTACAGAGGAGAATGTGAAATAGAAGTCAGTATGAGGCTAAAATAGTCACTTTGTTATTTGCACAGTCAAAACCTTCACTTACATTTTTTATTAACAGAACTGGTTAAAATTAACGGCATAAAGGAGGGATTTAAAAAAGGGACAAATCAGACGGGAGAGCGGGAGCGCCATGACAGATGAGACGGTTTCAGTATGATGTCAGCTTGTGTAAAAGGTGCGCAGCGACTCTTTCTGTCCGCCTCGGCCCTCCACACAGAGCAGAAACATGACGACAGTCAGCTGAGCGAGCTGAGAGCCCGCAGGAAGGCCATTACTGCTCATGTTTGGGATGCAGCCATTTTTAAAAGACCAAAAAGCCACAAAATTCTGAATTTTTCATCTGCTGCTGATCCCCTTTATGTGTTCATGTCATAAATAATTCACAGCTTCAAAAGGCCCTTTTTTTTTTTTTTTTTTTTTTACACACATGCAGTAAACGGAGCAGGAGAGAGGATCTGGTTCAAATCTGACCCACCGTTTCCAGCCCAGTGGGACATGGAAAACGTATACTGGTATATTCTTACACAAAGTTCAGGGTCTTGTTTTAGATGTTGCCTCATGATGCTCAGAGGTGAACAGGTTAAATGTGAGCTCATCTGCAAGGATAACGTTTGAAGAGAAGGCCCTAACCCCCCTGCTGCCACAGTGAAACAGTAAATTATTCAACTCTTTGACCACAGTCGTTCCCAGAACACTGAACCTCTTCCCATCTTTATTTCTGACCGACTCAACCTTTCTGAGAGGAAGTTATTCAACTTTTATATCTCTGCACCATTACAAAACCTCTCCGGTCACTTTTCTGGCCTCCCTTCTGACTCTTTCGATGCGAGTCGGTTTCATCACAGAATTTCTTAAATGTAAATTATGGATAAGTTCAAGTTGTTTTTACCCGTCTGCTTTGGGGCGGCTGCTTTGTCCTGGTCGCAGTCGATGGCCGCCGTCTCTTCGTACACCTCGTTCGTCTCCTGGCCCTTCTGCCCATCAGCGCCACTCGTTTGCAACTGGTCCCCCGGAACGTCCCGGTTATTTACGCTGCCGTTAGGGGCCAGCGGGCCACTCTCCTCCACAGACACCTCCCCGGCTGAGGAGTCCGAACCTGTGTAGACAGGAGGAGGTGGGACAGGAGGCAGGGCGTCTCGGTGGACGGTGTATTCGTAGGTGATGTAGGGGGTTCGGCCGTTCTGGTTCCAAACCTGAAATTATAAAAACAAGTTGAGGAAATTATTTCAAATGATTGATTTTCTTTAACTTAAGTCGCACAAGTCAGAAAATTGCCATTTCATACTGTAAATACATCCTGGGACATTTATCTGATGGACTGAAGTACTGCTGTTTAATAATGTGCAATAATTAAACAACAATAAAAAACAACAAGTGGTTTATCAGTTATTTTCATTCAGGACTTTCTTTGAGGTTATTGTGAGGCCTGTGGTGCTTCTGTAAACCATGCAGACATGTGTTAAATCAACAACCAATTAATTTTCTCATTGTCCTCAAATTTTAAAATACAAAATTCTTAAAATAAAAAAATAAAAATGAAAGAAAATGATTTTGGGAGAGTATTTGTGAAGCTCAGCCTGTGAAATGACATGGATCTACATGGTGATAAACAGAAATTAATTATATTTATTGGTTTAAACCAAGGTTTCCTTTAATACATGATTTGTAGTCTAATTTATAAAGTCCTAACAAAGATGTGTCAATTATTTTTCTTCTTTTAAACACTTTATTGTTTACAAATAGTATTATTATTATTGTTAATATAATAATAATAGTAATAATAATAAAAATAATAGTAATATAATAGTGATGTTGATGATGATGATGATGATAATAATAATAATCAACACTAAATGATGATAAACATAAACAGCAACTAAAAAAAATGGAGCTCTCTTAAACAGGACACCAAAAAGTAAATAAGAACAAATAAATAAATATAATAAAATATCAAATTTAACCAAATTCAGCAACAGCATAATCAATAAAACTGTCCAAACATCTTTACTGTCAGATATATGTCCCAGGACATCATTACAAGAGATTAATAATCTCAATGGATTACTTTCATGGTAAAATAAAGGTTTAAATAAAAAACATATGTACCAGACAACCCTGTATTTTTGTTTTATTTTACAAAAACGATATAAAAAAAAAGCTGTTTCTAGTTATTTTCTGTCATATTATTTTACATAAGTCATGATACTAACTTTAGTTGCATTTTTCTTTTGTTTCCATTCACCTTTTGTCTTTTACCTGCTTTTAGCTCCTTCATCTTTTTAACCCTTTTTAAACAACCATAAAAGTGCCCAATCTATTTTTATTACAGCCAGTAGTCTTTAACACATGAAAAAGGCTGATCAAGACCTGGAGTTGCTTCAGTGAAAACAGTGAGTCGATGCAGAGAAATTAGTGTACCAGGATATTTATGGCCTGGTCAATGGGGCCTTTGGCCACAATGTATTCGATCCCAGTCTCATAAACGTCCATGGGTCGGCGGTATTTGAAAACGGTTCCTGCTGCGTGGAAGTTCTGGGGACTGTCCAACTTGTAGGCACCGTTAAAGAAGAAATTCCCCGCCTGGTCAGTCACAGCTGGGGAGCAAAAAGCAAAGATCCGTTTCACGGTGTTTAATTTTTCACTGTAACGTGTCTCATGTTGATCAGAAGGAACTGGACGCACCGAGAACATCTGCAGATTTTTTTCTCTCAATGATCTGGATGTCCCAAGATCCTTCGGGAATCTGCGTGATGAAAGAGTAACCTAAACAGCAAGACACAGAAATGTAATCAGAAACTTCATGTTTTGACGTTTTTCAAAGTAACGTTTGAAATATCTTTACGTCCAAACAACTTTATAAGATCGTAACGACAAAAACTGGCAACAAAACGTGCATAAATAACAATAGATATTAATTATTTCACAAAACGTTTAAAGACAAATTGCTCTTTAGTGAGATTTGATGAAATCACAGGATCAACAAGGTAAAAAACTGAAATTTGATTATTTGTTTAAGCCAAGGATTCCTTAAATATATAAATTGATGATTAATTTGACTCTCAGTTAGCTCTTGTGCATGAATGCCAAGCCCTGCTGCTAAAATCCTCAATATTAATAACTTTTTTTAAATCTATTTGAGAGAAGTTTTATTAATTTCTGTTGTCTGAAGTGTTATTAAATTAAAAAGTAGTTTAATCTCAAACCAAAATGGTTTATCTTTTTCTAAATGGTAACAGTCACCTTACTATTTTTAGGTTTAATAAAAGTATTTAACTATCTGCAAAGTTATGTACCATTTATTAGGTAGTGATTGGTAGTAGAAAATCGTCAGTAATGAAATGGACTTCTCGCCGTTGTGTTCAAATAATTATGTTTATTTGTCATATGCAGGTGAGCACAAGGTCAACCATGCAATAAAATGTTCAGGATGAGAAGAACTGATTCTACTCGCTAAAAGCAAAGAACAAAAGCCTGCAAGAAAAGTACAAAATAAAGTACCAAAACGTGAAAAAGAAATAAAATATTTACAAGGTCCAAAAGAAAAATGGTCATCAACAACAAGGTCGACTATAACGGTGCAAGTATGAATTTGTATGAATAAGTATTTCAAGTAAATAACACAAGCTAAAATATACATGCTATATATTGCACATAACATATACTGCACAGATTGTGAGACAAGTGATACAAGTTTAATGTTTTGGTCTTCTCTGCCATGTTCTGCACTAAACAAACACTAGCACTAAAAAAAAAAAAATGGTCAGCATTTTCTGGAACATGTACAAATGGACCTTCTTTCAGCAAGAAAGTCGCTGGTTCAAATCCCAGCCCGGGACCTTTCTGTTTGCATGTTCTCTCCGTGCATGCGTGGGTTTTCTCCGGCTGATTGGTAACTCTAAATTGTCCCTAGGTGTGAGTGAGAGAGTTAATGGTTGTTTGTCTCATTTGTCTCTATGTGACCCTGTGATGGACTGGAGACCTGTCCAGGGTGTACCCCGCCCCTCGCACAGTGATTGCTGCTGGATATAGGTACCAGTGATCCCTGTGACCCAAAAAGGGATAAGCAGGTGAAAGATAATGGATGGATGGATGGATGGATGGATGGATGGATGGATGGATGCTCACCCAGCGTTGTGGCCCCACGGCGGAAGTTTCCAGTGACTCTGCTGCAGCTGCTGCCGTCCCCCCGACAAACACCACATTTATCCAAAGTGTTGGACGAGAACAGAACGCCATCGCATCCGATCGGCTGCGCAAGAAAGTGAGATGTAAAAACAGACACAGAAAAAGGGTTAATCTCTCTCCTAAAGAAAAATAAATAAATTGACGAGCTGAAACAAACACACACAAAAAAAAAAAATTAAATTGTATTAAACTAAGTGCAAAGCAAAAACAAACATGCTAATATCAAACTAAAATATTGCAGGTAATAAAGCAAAATGACACGTTTTGCACTTGACTTTGATTTCTTTGCAACTAATCAAGGCTCATAATGGAAGAAAGATTTTAAATCACTGATGTGACGAGTGATTTTGATTTTTCCTGCTCAGGAAAGTGAATGTTGTTCCAAAACAATATCCATGAAAGTGTTACTGAGTTTTTAATAAATCAGTCTATGAACAGTTCAGACAAAGACTGCAACTTGTTTATTCAGAAAAAGGCCTGACCCCGACAGAATTAGTTGATAATTTAGAAACTATGACAATTTTTGTGATATTGGACATTTACAGATATATTAGCAAAACAAATTAAACTAAATGACACTTTATTGCTTGTTATCACTGAGGCCTGAGTTAGGTGTGAGAAGAAATAACGACATTAAAAAGTGGTAAAAGTTTTTTTTAATGGTCCTTTTTGGAAATAATTCAAAACGAAGAAACAGATAATGAAATGAAGTTAAGTAAAACATGAAATATCTTACTTTCATGCTTCTCAGGCTGCTCAAAAAGTATAAAAACTCTTTAAAGATTTTAAAACGAGATGGCTGGAGGACATTCAGAGTTGCTTCACGTGTGTTTCCTTGCACTCGTCTCGTCACTATGACTCTGACTGATGCTGACTTACAAAATCCTTAATGTCAAATACTTGAAAGCTGTTAAAAATGTAAAAAAGTTCAATCTTCCTGTCAGAACGAGCCTGAAGCGTCATCACATCAAGCTGCTGACAGATATTCCACCGTGCTGGACTCCTACTGGGAATGAACGCCCTGATGGTTGTCAGGTTAAAACCTGGACCAGAGCGATGAAAGCGTGGACTGACCTCACACGTCCCGTCCACGCAGACGCCGCGGTAGCTGCTGTACTTGCAGGAAGTGCCATCTCGTGCCGTCACCATGAGCTGCCTGTGGCCGTCAGTCGTGGTGCAGTGAAGGTCGCAGGGGTTACTGGAGATGTGAACGTAATCATCTAAAGACAAGTGAAAGATCACAAGTCAAGGATCAACGCTCCAACCGTTTATGCTTTTCACATCACAGAACCCCCCCCCCCCCGATAAACTCATTTATTAGTTTATAAAACTCATAATGGGCTTGTTGCTGCATTTCAATTTAGTTTATTTCCATAGCACCAAGTCACAACAGAAGTCCTCTCAGGGCACTGAACAGAAACATTCACATACATTAAAAAGTCAGTTAATAACGTTATTTCTCTGAGGAGCAGACTGCGTTGAGTCTCAACTTTGTCACAGACTCTCATCCTGAGCAAGCATAAAGGCAACAGTGGAAAGAAAAAACTCCCTCATGAGGAAGAAACCTCCAGCAGAACCAGGCTCAGGACAAGCGGCCATCTGCTTCGACCAGCTGGTTTTGAGAGGACAAGGAGGAGGAACGGACACAAAATGACAGGCCAGTGGCAACGTCATGGGTTTCATGGACAAATATAACTGAGTATCATCAGCATAACGACGAACATGCATCACATGCTGTTTAATAACTTTATCTATAATGGAAGGTCCAAGCACTGAACCCTGAGGAACTCCGTGACTAATTTTGTTGTAAGAAGAATATTCATTATTTACATTTACAACCTGGAAACTATCGCATAAAGCAAGGATTGTCAGAAAATATATTTTTTGCATTGTCTTTACAGCGATGAGACTTTGGGACATATTTTTGGACATTCCTCAAAAGTGAATCTTTCCCTTGTCCATTTCTAAACTTTTCACAAACTTTTAAGATCTAATAACTTCTTCAAAAAGAAATGTTTCCATATCAGTAATCTCCACATCATTTTAGGATTAATGCTGATCCTTTAATACGTTTGACCTTATTATCTAGTATACTTTTATATCTATTGCAACCGTTAAAATATTTAACTCATTCAGGATGTTACAGAAAGGTCTTTTAGCAACTTTCACACTTGTGAACTATTTAAATTTAATTGCATTTGGGGGTTTTTTCCCCTTAAATTGCAAAATTCTGTGCACAGCTCTGTACTAAGCTGTTTCAGCACAACTGAATTATTTATATTTGTAGTTTTTAACTACAGTTTTGCTGATCTTCACCTTTACCATTCTGCTGGCTTTAACTTTAAGCTACTGTTTTGTTGGTCTTAGCATTTAGCTAATGCTTTGATAGTTTTATCTTTTTGATCATGTTTAGATTTTAAAGGTTTGCTCTGATTGTTTGAACTTCAACAATTCAGTTTTTTCGACAAACTTGAGCAAAGTGATTCAGCAGCACTCAACATTCATACAGAATTTTAAAATAAAATAGTTTTTCTGCTCATTCCATAAATTTCAGTCATTTTAATGGCACCACTATTTTAGCATCCATCCATCCATCCATCCATCCATCCATCCATCCATCCATCCATCCATCCATCCATCCATCCATCCATCCATCCATCATCTTCTGCTTGTTCTGAAGTCAGGTCTTGGGGGCAGCAGCTTGAGCAGGAGGTTCAGACATCTCTTTCTACAACCACCTCTTCCAGCTCTTCTGGGAGGATTCCAAGGTGTTCCCAGGCCAACTGAGAGACATAGTCTCTCCAGCGTGTCCTGGATCTTCTCCAAGGTCTCCTTCCAGTCTGACATGCCCGAAGCACCTCTCAGGGAGCATCCTTACAAGATGCCCAAACCATCTCAACTGGCTCCTCTCAATGTGGAGGAGCAGTGGTGCTACTCCGAGTCTCTCCTGATAACTGAACTTCTCACCGAGTCTCTCCTGATAACTGAACTTCTCACCGAGTCTCTCCTGATAACTGAACTTCTCACCCCGTCTCTAAGGGAGAGTCCAGCTACCCTGCGGAGGAAACTCATTTCAACTGCCTGTATCTGTGATCTCATTCTTTCAGTCACTACCCAGAGGTTGTGACCATAGGTGAAGGAATGTAGACGGAATGATAAACAGAGAGCTTTGTCTTACAGCTCAGCTCCCCCTTCACCGCAACGGACCGGCACAGAGTCCGCAATACTGCAGACGCTGCACCAATCTGTTTGTCAATCTCACGTTCCATTCTTCCCTCACTCGTGAACAAAACCCAGAGATACTTAACCGCCTCCACTTGAGGCAGATCCTCACCATCGACCTGACGAGAGCAATCCACCTTTTTCCAGTTGAGGACCACAGCCTCAGATTTGGAGGTGCTGATTCTCATCCCAGCCGCTTCACACTCGGCTGAGAACTGCTCCAGTGAGAGCTGAAGATCAGATGATGCCAACAGGACCACATCATCTGCAAAGAGCAGAGAAGGAATCCTGAAGCCACCGAACCAGAATCTCTCCACCCCCTGGCTGCACCAAGAAATTCTGTCCATTAAAGTTATGAACAGATTAGGCGGCAACGGGCAGCCCTGGAGGAGTCCAACTTACTTCTGGCAACGAGAACCAAACTCTCGCACCGCAGGTCTGGGGGCTTTTCTGCGTGGAGTTTGCATGTTCTCTGCTGGACATGGGCACCAGTGACCCCCGTGATATAAAATGGTAGAAGCGGGTAAAAGATAATGGATGGATGGATTTTGTTTCAAATAAAATTTTTATGTATACAGTATTTAGATTCATCTTTTTACACGCATTGACTGTCTGTGTGTTTTTTGGCTGTTCCTACCAGGATACAGAGGTTTCCAGTGGTAGCTCCTCCCACTGTAGAGCTGTGAGTTAAAGGACCAACACTGCTCCTCTCTGAAGCTCCTCCCCGTGGCGGGACATTCCTGTTTAACAGAGCATTCAAAGAGGTCTTGTCACTCTTCTTAAGTCCTGGTTTTACAGCTTGTTGGACAAGTTACTTCCTTTTAAGTCGTTATCTGAGCACAGATGGGTTTTCTGTGACTCCATCACAGTTTGGAGCACTTCACTGACCACAACCGCGGTCCCTCTGCTGTCAGCCAGCTGGAGAGACTGTGTTTGTGTGAACAAAGATGTGAAGTAAAGTGATGAGAACGGGGAGTCTGAGACTCACTTTAGTGTTGCAGAGATGGTATTTCTTGGCTGTGCCTGTGCAGGTCATGTTGTCCTTTCCAGCAGCAACTTTCTTTCTTTGGACAGGAGACAAATATTTGGACATAAAACAACACGGTAATGCTTGATGAACATCAGGCTGGAGTTAAGTCAACCTAAATGATTTATAATGAACATTTTAATGTACGTATTAGGTGATTTATCCTCTGACTTCTGCATCGGTGCAGGTGTAACAAAGCACAAGACCTTACTGAGCACGCCGTCTCCTCTAGCTCTCGGTTTTGTAAAGTTTTCACAAAGCTGTCATAATGTTCATGAGTGCTTAGATGTAAAACATGGTGTTCAGAGTGACTGACCTCTGTTTGAGGCAGTGTCTCTCCTGGGACATCACCCCCCCTCCGCAGGTTCGAGTGCAGGCTGTCCACTTGGCCCACTCGCCCCACCAGTAGGTGGTCACTTCCAGCTCCTCTTCAAGACTGTTGGAGGCAGTGCCCTCCTCCTGCCCACCCTTAAACACAATAAAGACCCACAGAATATAAAAATGTATTTAATGAATATCAATAACTGTTAATTCTTGGATGTCGTGCACAAGTCATTTATTGTGTGTTTTGCTTTCAAGGAGCCAGAACTTCATGACAACAGAGGCTTTTGTGGATTCTTTGGGTCTTTTTAAGTTGGTATCTCACTGGGCTGCAACTGGTGAACATTATTCATGAGGGAATCTCCTGAATGTCTCAAATCATCTTGCAACTTTTGTGGACGCCCTTAACTTCTCGCATGCATCACAGAAATGTGCAACCACGCTGCTTGAGTCATGTTTAGAAAGACTGTGCAACTACTTTTCTCTCAAAATAGTCTAGAAGTTGTTGTGGGTGTCTCCACCTTCTCCAGAGTTGTACGTTAACACCTGCAGGAGATGTCCTCTGACAGAAAACATCTGAGGCGAATGTCTAAAACACACGTTGATGATCAGTAATTATTCATGAAAAGCTGGTCCAGATCTGCCCGTTTGTTTTTATTTCAAAAGTGTAAAAATCAGAAACTAGGGGGCGGGGCTAAGCTGGGTTCAAGGCTAGCAGAGGAGGGCAATAAAATAATGTGCACGGCCAAGAACATTGTTTTAAAACAGCTGCACACAAAATCACCATGACTTTCCAAAACTGGACATTTTAAATGTGGATCGCCGGTCACTTGATTGCAGAACCTCAAAATCAGTAACACTTTACAATAAGGTGCACAAAATGTGATTAACTACTAGGGAACTAGTAGGGAACGAGCTGTGTTCATTCGTCCTCATCTGTTGTTTGGAGCATTGTTTTGTACTTTTACTGTTTAGTGTATTTCTTAGTTCATGTCTTAGATCTTATTACTGTTTTTCTTTACAATTTGTATTTTTGTCGGATGTAACTGGGACCCTGTGTACATAGTTTCGTTCCACCTCATGTACCACATGTGATGTGAAAGACGACAAAGAACCTTGAATCCATCAGGAACAAATTAGGAGCTAATGGGTAGTTAATCAGTGCTTACTGGGACACACAGACAAGCCTTATTAGGGGACGACTGGTTTGTTACTAAACCTAGTTAAGATGACAGCAGTACAAGATTATGAAATTGATCGTATCTTTCATCAATAGGTTTAAAAAGAAAATCCAATAAAACCAGTAATCACTAGGAAACAGGTTTTTGACAATTACGAGCTGTGACCTCACTGGTGTAGGGTTTATTCAGAACCCACATGGAGAATTTCTCCTCTTTCTGTGGTAACTAACCAGTAGTCCCCTAATAAGGCTTGGCTGCGTGTTTCCCAGTAAGTACTGGTTAATTACCCATTAGCTCCTGATTCGTTCCTGAGAGGTTCCTCAGTAGTTGATCAAATTTTGTGTACCTTTGTTGTAAAGTGTTACCTCAAAATCCAGCAAGGCCACAATAAAAAAAATGTATTTTCTAGTTGTCCCTGCGATCTCGAGTCACTAACTATTCCTGCGACAGTCGCAGCTCAGTGAGATACTTCTTTTAACTCTGACCTGTAACTGTTCAAGAGAAAAATGCTCCTAACTCAAGGGCTGAGCCTGTTTTGTGTGAAAATAAAAGAAACAACTTGGAACTGAACACATTTTCTAAGCGGATGTTTAGATACTCGTCACAAAAACGCAACGTGTTCCTAAAAGCTGTAAAGAAATAGTGTGAACTGTAGTTTTGTAAGTGACAGTGACAACAGCAGCTGTGTGATTGTTGGACCGTCAGAGGAGCGTGCGTAAACGAGCGTCAGCGTTTTGTGCCGAGGCTCCAGTGTGTGAAGATGCGCAGCATTTCCCACATTCCTGATATGGATTAACAGCATTAACTGAGGCTGAAGCCTGCATCCATTTATTCAGACGGGCTCATCGGAGTGACCGCTGGAATGTGCGCTGAGCTCCTTGTAAAGGTGTGAGGCAGAGCAGCTGCGAGGGAAACTCTACAAAAACCAGACAGGCGGCGTACGTGGGACAGAGCGACAGGCACGCGAGAGGAACGAAAGTGAGGATTATTTAATGTTAGATCATGACAATAAAGGCTGAACGTAATGATTTGCTCATCTCACAAATATATTCTATTCACAAATTGTAAATATATGAAATGTTAACATACAATAAGGTGATTTTTGTATTTTTAGGCAGCAGGTGTCATCAAAAATGAGATAGACGCAGCGAACGGCTGTAAAAACAAGTGGCATGAATAAAAAACAGCTGGAAGAGCATTTGACGCTAAATAAACTTGCAAAATAAACAGCTTCTTTATCTCTAATATAAATATTGAATCTTTCCTTTAAAATGCAACAAACACATTTCCTCCTTCCGTTGTCTTTAATTTATTTAATTTTTATTGCGCATTTATTCATTCGTTCACTTTTGTCACCGAGTGTGTGACGGCTCACACCCTCAACAGGTTGCCGGTTCACCATAGCACCACATAGACTAAAATAATACATTTTAAAATAAAAATCTGTTTTGTTTTAAACTGTCATTTACTTTGTTACCATTTCCTTAATGAAATAATGTTTGCAGCGCTACGTGTTTGGTGGCATCTTCTACTTATTGATTGTGATTCATTTGCCTGATTTAATCCCATTAATAAAAACTGACTAAAAATATGTGATTAAGAAAACAAAGAGCTGCAGCTCTGTGCTACAAAGAAGCAGCTAAACAAACTATTATCGGCTGACAGAATCGGTGCCAACGTAAACAACTGACTTGTGTAAAAACGATGATGTATTTTTTTATATTATAGGTTTTGTTCAAACTGCTGAGGGAGTTTTGACTAAACCTTCACTGGGTTTCGCTCTGAGCAGCTGATAGCTTGATGACCACGTGAGAATTTCCACGCGATTCTCCAAAATGATTGCTGTCTACAGCAGGAAGGACACTGACTGCTCATAAACACTCCACAGAACCCCTATTTGAAAAAGCTAAATGCATTTTTTTTTTTTACTGTGGAAAGAAGTTAAAGTACCAAAGACATGAAGGACTAACATTCAAACCAGAATTAACGATTTACTGAAGTCAAAAATAAAAATAAAAGATTTAGTGAATCTGAGTTAGGTAAAAGTTTGTTTTGTACCTGTGAGCCTCGGGCGGACAGATTTCCCATAGACACCACCAGAGTCAGGAAGCCAAGGAGGACCACACCCGTCTCCCCAAACTGCTCCCACGACCACACCTTCATCCTAACAACAAAAAAAGAAAATGTTGTTGAAAAAGCAAACTTTTTTACAAAAATGTGCGTGTTGTCACCGACTGAGGGGTACAAAGGGAAATATCAGCACCACTAAAGATTCTGCAGCACTTATGAGCTTTTTGCTGAGGAGTACGGGGTTTGCCCCAGCTCCAGTTTGAGGATTCTGACTTCCTGTCCATTATGAGAACACGTGCATTTTGTTTCCTTTCCGACCCTGAAGTGTTTTTTAAGAACATCTGTGGTGACACCTGACGTGCTGCTGGACACTTTACCTGCACAGAAACTCAACTGTTTTGAGACAACGGGTCTAATCAGGAAACACCAAGAACATGGGCTGAATAAAGCTCGTATCTAAACATCTGTTCGCAGAAAGTGAAGGGTGTGTTTTCAGACTACACAGCTGCGCGTCGGCTGCAGGTATTTGAACGTGCTCGCAGTCGAAGCAGGCGTCTGCTGGCAGGTGGAGGGCTGCCGAGAGGCCTCAGGTGGTGAAGAAAAGGGAGTTGGACAGCAAAGGGGCCCATTAAAAAGTTAAACAAGCCCCAAAGTGCTGGAAGGATGGAGGTAAGTTTCCTTGGACGCTACACAGGTAGGTCTTTGTTTGGCTCTTTAGACTATAAGGAAATGTAGATGTCTGAAGGTAAAGGCTGGCGAGAACATCAGACACAGGAAAGGGAGGGTTCATAAAGGACGCTGCACAAGCTTCGTAACAGAGTCGAGCCTCGGACTCTTTAAAGTAAAGTAACCGTTTCGGGTGGTGTTTTGTTGGAAACGCACAGGAAACTTCAAAACATTCAAACAAAATCGAGTGTTTCTTTGCGAACTTGCATGTAAAAAAATGTACAACTACGAAACACGTAGAAAAGTATTATATTTTGATTATTTCATTTCTCTTATTGTCAGCTTTAAACGTGCAATACTGTTTTTAACAGTTGATTTTCATGTGCAAGTTTAAGCTGGATTGTATAATTAATTATCTAATTAAATGATCTGTCAGCCCTGAAAAAAGATAAATTTCTCACAAGCACTTTCCAAATAGCCAAATTATAAACAAAGGTTTTACTGATCATTCAAGCAAATTAATTTTATTAGATTTTACTGCAGATATTGAACACAAACCTATTGATCCGCTTGTAAATTTTTAGCACAGAGCTCCACGTAATGTCTTCAGGTTCAGTAACCCAGCCTTATTAAAATAAGCAAAGAGCTCGTCTCGCCCTCTTTGCAGTCTGGCTTTTACTAAATATTGGTGACAGGTGTCTTAAAGCAGCCACAGCAGCAGCACCTGGACTTCATTATCCATCCAGACACAGCTGGAGCCCAGCCAGCTGCCAAACACTCACATTCACAGAGGAGACGGACACTTTGTCCAACACAGCTACGCGTCTGTAGACACTCAGCCAGTGGCGGGACTCGTGCACAAACACTCTTTGCCCTTTGTGCTTGCTGCTGTGCACAAACGGGTGTGCAGATGTTTAATAATAACACAAACAAACACCAATTTCTTACTCTTGCTGCTGCCTTACATTCCCTCTTTCTGGTGGGGCTGAAACGTCAAATTTTGCTCCAGATCTGAACTTAGAGGTCCCCGAACTCTGTGACCATGTCAAGTTTAGCTGCAATTACAGGTCCAGAGTTTGTTTATAGTTTCTGGGCACCGTATTTTCCGGCATATAAGACGCAGTTTTTTGCATAAATTTGTCAGCCCTGCAACTTGTACGCCGAAGCGACTTATATACGTTTTTTTAATGCATATTCATAACGCAGTTTTTGACTGATGCTTTAACTTTCTAAGAATTGCAACAGCGAGTCCTCCCATGCACGCTCGCTTCACTCGGTTAGTGCAGGCGACTGGAGAACTAGCGGCTCTATCCACGATGGATGGAAGGATGGATGGATGGATGGATGGATAGCGCCGTGCCGCCCAGGTGAAATGAAGCTGTTTTGACCATTAAAGTGCATTTATTAAGGAAAAGTTAAACTGAGACACACATTTGCTATAATGTTGAGCGAACAAATAATTGTTCGTCTTGTTAAATTTCTAAGAAATGCAACAGCGAGTCTTCCCGTGCGTGCTCGCTTCACTCAGCTGGTGCAGGCGGAGGAAAGCTGGAGAGCTAGCGGCTTCGGCCGCGATGAATGGATGTCACTGTGCAGCCCAGGCGAAATGAAGCTGTTTTGACCATTAAATAAATGCATAATAAATGCGACTTATACGCCGAAGCGACTTATATGTGTTGTTTTCTTCTTCATGATGTTTTTATTGACTGATGCAATTTATACTCTAGAGCGACTTATACGCCAGAAAATATGGTAATCCCTCTTTTTCAACTCACCAGTAGAGGCAGAAATGATCATACAAATTCTGGCATGATGGTCTTAGAGGCATAAAATCACTTCAATGTCTGGCATTAATTTGGCCTCTGTTTCTAATGTAAAGTAAAATAAAAAGTAAAATAATGTTATTAACTGACTTTTTATGTGTATGAATGTTTCTGATCAGTGCCCTGAGATGACTTCTGTTGTGACTTGGCGCTTTATAAATAAACTGAAGTGAAAATTTAAAGAATCCAGGCGTTAATTTGAATGTTGTTACTGGGACCGCTTTCTTCCACCAGAACAATGTCATTAAAGTGAGAAACATCTTGTTCCAAAACGAAGCAGAAACACTGCTCCAATTATTTATCCCTTCTAGACTGGATTATTGTAATTCTTTATGGGTGTCCAAGAAACTCTAAAACGTCGACATCTGATCTAAAATGCTGATGAGAGTTAGGAGAGATCACGTTTCTCCAGTTTTAGTTTCTTTCCATTGGCTTCCTGTAAAATTCAGAACATAAACTCCTACGTTTAACATGCATACAAAGTTCTCAACAACCTAGCTCCATCTAATATCGAAGAGCATTTGGTTCCATATTTTCCTAACAGAGCACTTCACGCCCAGACTGCAGGTTTACTTGTGGTTCCTGGAGCATCTAAAAGGCAGAGCTTTCAGTTTTTTTGACTTACAGAACTGTTTCTGTCTGCGAGGCTGACAACTTGTCTACTTTATAGACTAGACTTGACTTTCCTTTTTGATACTGTAACTCCTACAGTTAGTGTTGGGTTTCCTGAGCTATCCCTTAGTTCTGCTGCGATGGGCTTAGACTGCTGGAGGACAAACTGACCATATGTCCTGCTGCTGTCTGTAAAAGGAGTTAAACTGACTCCTTCACTGCCCTGAATATGATTAAAGTTTCAAATCACTGAAAGGGCTAACAGATGAAAGCTGGAGGGGGTAATCAGACGGAATTAACCCATTCTTCAAAGTTTCTTCAGAAATGTTCCAATATTTAAAAAAAAAAAACTGCTCATGAAAACAACAACAAAAAACAATTTATGTAAATCCTCATCATAGATTATTGCAATTTGGGCAGCATCCTTCATAACGACCCAAAAGTCATTCAGCAGGTAGACAGAGATTCAAGTAGAAAGCTTTTCCTGAATAATGGCCCAACTGTTATTCTCTGAGTTCATTTATAATCTGAGTTTGACAAGTTGTTTGGTTTATTGGATAGATTTAATTCACTGGCTGCTACATCATGAACTTTAACGGTTCTGGAAAGCTTTTGTTAGTTTAGTATGTGATTCATTCTTATTCAAAGGAACAACTTGTCTGTGCAGTTGCAATTATCCAGTCCTTGTCTTCTCAGGATCACCTATAGCTCCACGTTTTGCTACATGTTCTCTTTCTAAAGCACTCTCTTGCTGTAATTCACAAAATCCCTTTTCTCGGTATACACTGCTTCTTGGTTTATTTAGCTTATAGCTGGATCAGTCATGCACAGATTGTCATGCGAGCCGTCTTTGATTGTTCTTTTTATTAATTCATCAAAACTGGTGTTCCTTAATCTGGTGCTTCACGTGCATCCTCTCACCATGCCACCAATGATCCATCTCCAGAACCAAAACCACTACAAAAAGTGTTCTTGTGTTGATAAATTTAGACTTTTTTTTTTTACCTTTTACCTGTATTACTAAATTATTCTTCTTTGCCAAAATAGCCACCTGAAAAACATGTTTTAATCTCATTGCATTGTCTATAATTAAAATGTTTTCATCTTTGCCACATGTCCACATTTGGCTGAAACCTTCTCTTTTCCTCATGCTGTCAGGATGCTCATGAGACAAGGGGGGAAAAACTTGAATGATTGCTTTGGGAAGATCCTGTACCTTTCCACATTCAAGGACTACGAGCGAGGACATAAACCGAGTTGAATTCCTGCTGAGAATTCACTCAGACATTTGTTTTGTAGAAACCGTTGCCAAACCAGCTCATTGTTGCTATCTATTGGAATTAATTGTGAACCAACAGACTAATGAGTTAAGCACTTGGGTGCAAAATTGGAACAGACTCTCGTGGATTTGTCTCATAGACTCTGAAATTATGTAGTTTCCTTTAGTTGAGGTAGTTGTCAAGGAACATGAGACCAAGGAAACTAAAATAAAAGCATCAGAGTCCAAACAGCATAAACTAATGAACTTGCTCTCATAGAAAAGTGCACCTCATGTTTCCATCTCTCGCTCTGTAGGTCTCCATCGTTTAAACACAAAATTGGCCTGCTGCCTCACTTTGGTCCAGACAGGGTCTTCCTCTTTCCTCTTCCACTCTGCTGTCGTTTCCCAGCAGACGGGCAGGGCAGAAAAAAAGTAAACAGTTCCCTCATCTTCCCCGCCGTCCCCCTCCCTGTGGCGTCCCCACCCTGGCGGACCCCTGGGGCCCCTCGCCTCTCCGTCTTGTTTTTATAACACTAGTAACCTTAGCAGGCAGACAGACAGCAGAAGTTTATCCCTTAGAGGCTGGATTGAGGCCGATACATCAGAGCAGTGCTTAACATTTATTATCTAACACTGGCTGCCATCCAGGTACTGAGGGACACCTGTAATATGAATATCCCTGGTTTTAAATGAAGATGTTATGGAGGTTTAGAACACTGCACAGCTGAAAT